GGGGGGAATGTTGGACACCACAGATTAATCTACGGCCATCCCAATAATGGAAAATATACTTTACAGGAATATAACAATTAGAAGGCATAGTTTTCTTAAATGATTAGGATGACCTGTTACTTATATATGGTGGCAGCCATCTTGGCTTCTGACATGACACCCAACTGTCAGTAGGAACCTTTCTTACATCTAGATGCAGTCACACACCAAATGAAAGTCAGTACCGCACATTTTTTCAAGTTATCGCTCTCACAACACACATGGATGGACAGAGGGAATTTCCAATTCACCTTTTTGCTGCATGACAGGTGACACAGGTGACGAGTGTTAGTGCTTCCCCCTGTAACAGCCCTGCCAGGATCTCAGTAAAATCTGTTTCACCATCAGCTGACAACATTTTGGCTAATGTACTGTTTGTTATACATGATGGCCTGGACTATCTTTTTATACGGACGTTTTATGGTACGGTCTCCTTCTGACGTAAACTTTCTCCTGCCTGGGCCATAACTTTTGATCCACTCAAGGTATTTAATAAAACTTGAAGCATCATCACTAGACAGTCGCATAATATTTCATCACGACAGCTCTAAGGTCGCAAATCAAGGTCAAATGTTACATAAGGTTTTTTCTTGTCTGGGCCTTTGCTATACTGTATAAGTTGTCAAGAGGTGTGTAATGTGCCATATGTAGTATTCGGCTTAGGAATACTTTAAGCTTGTAGTATTTTGATAATTTTCTCTCTATCATATGAATCAAAAGTCTTCTCAAAGTCTACACAATGTATTAATGTTCTCAATGCTTTGTCAATAAGTGGAAATGTGTGCTGCTGTTGTGTCCAAAATAAAATTACCTTAAGCTGCCTACTTTGAGGTTTTTATGTAATAAAAACTAAACATATAGCAGATGGAAATCATACTTTAGACCACAGGGTTTGTGTGTCTTTTTATAAGGTTTTGCCGTGAAATTATCCAGACAACTGTGTGTACACAGATTATTGTGATTGTGTGGACCGTGCATGCTAAGAGCACCATGTGTCATGGTAAAACTCCCATTTTACAAGTGGTACTAAACTCAAAACAGACAAACAAACAAGACTAAAGGTTCAAGCGCAAGCAGAAGAAGGAAAACGAGGAAGCTTGTTTTAAGAAAATCCTTTGCAGCTCCACAACACATGAATCTATTTCTCAGGAACCACTAAGACATGAAATTTCAGATTTTCTTTAAAACAGTCAGTAGACAAACCAGCACATTGGCTCCATTTGTCAGGCTAAAGTGAAAACTGTAGAAACAAAGTTAGATGTTGCACAGCTTACTCAGAAACCAGCACGTGAACTCCTCCTTGTTCCCTCACGAACTCACCTGTTTGATTGCGTACAGCAGCTTCCCATAGCAGAAGACAATCACCAGAAAAGGTCCAATAAGGCAGAAGAAAAACAGACAGATGATGTACGATATGTTGTTCGCTGTCTTGGCTGTCCAATCAACGGAGCAAGTGGTTCCTGGACCTTCTAGACCATAGTGGCTCCAGCCAAAGAGTGGCGGCAGGGTCCATAAAAGGGAGTAAACCCAGGAGAGGAGGATGCCCAGGGAGATCTTGCGGTAGTTGGAGGCGTCCGCCTCTGTGGGGGTTATCATGGTGCTGTAGCGCTCATAGGAGAGGACAGCCAGGGAGATCAAGGACACGATGCCTACAGCGCAGACAAGACACACAATGAACACTTGTATCAATTAACAAGCACACAGTGTTAAGTAACCTCTAACATAGAGATGTCAAGAGGGATTAAACGCTGCACACAGGTAGACAAGAATAAAAAGTGTTTAAGTAGGTTCCTGCCTGTCTAATTGGATCATAAATCAGGGACTGAAGGGCTTTGCCTGTCCAAGTGCTTCCACTGTGATAAAAAGCTTTTACAGCTCTTTGTCTGAGCTCAGATGTGCAGCTGAAATGAACTTCATGGTTTATCAGTTCGCATGCACTATGAGACGTGGCTTAAGAAAAATAATTGGCTGACTGAGATGTGCTACGGATAATGGAATCCAATATTTTAGTTCCCGTTGTGTGGACTGCACTGGATACCCACTGTTTTAAATTAGGAACCTGGGTGTCACTTGAAATGCCTTTGACAGAGGCAGCACAGAGCAAACAACAGACACTTCAAGGAACTTTCCTTTTCTCTGTGAGGCCCCTCGCTGAACGCTCGTGTCTTGATGTGTTTGTGTTACACAGAGCAGAAGCAGGAGCCCGGCGCTCGATGTTGATGCTGACCTCTTGGCCTTTTCCTCGTGTTTGCTGTTTGTTCTGAAGCCGTAATGATCCATGGGGCTGTCAGTAAAGACCATTGATTTTCAGGAGCAATGAAGGAGGCTTGAACCCAATGCTTTAGCCTTTCACCAACTCAGCATGATGAATGGATTACGGTAAAGTAAAACAGGAAAAGATGTGGTGAGACTTAATAAAAGGAGATGGAAATAAATTTTAGGATTCTGTTTTTGTATCTGCTTGCTTTGATAGTATAAATAAAACACGTTGAACAAACTGCAGCGGTCCATAGGCCTTTGGGTATTAAATTCTCTTTGCTTTTCTCTGCTAACTGATTAGCTCAAGGCTTCCATTTGATTTGTTTCTGCTACACTACAGAGTCAACACACTCTTGTGCTTTTGTTTGATCTGGTTGAACTCACAGCAATCATCCTCAGACATATTTCAGAGTATTTGAACCAACAGAACTCACTGCAGCATCATCTCAGCCTCAAAGTGATCGGTCTTTTTTCTGTCAATCATGGAAAAACAAGAACAAGAGAACTGTCCTCTGATGAGCTCCAGTCCCATCTAGACTGGAGAGACTGCCTGTTGTCAGTCGTCTTCAGAAAACTTCCCATATCATGATTGACTGCAGCTCGTAGTTTTTCTTTTCCAGCTGTTGGACAACACTCATAATGATAAAAATCATAAATGATCAACACTTAGAACAACAAAAATCTCCAAACCTCTCAAAAGGAAAATTTGAAGCCATTTCCAAATAACTTCAGAGCTAGGCTAGACTGTGGAAGTAGCTCAATTTATGCATGGTTTGTTCGTTTAGCTCATTGATTCCGTTTCCTGGACAAACGGAACATGTAGTGAATAATTTCTCACATTGTGACTAAGCAAGCTCCCACGGGGGGGAAACATTATTTCAGAGGACAGCTGCTTCGGCATAATGTGCAGAACTGCAGATTTTTAACTCAGGTTAGTAAGGGCTCTCCCCTGAGCCCTGTTACAGGTATGGGATGTTGCGACAAGTAACAGAAGACTCGTCTGTGTGACTCTCACTGTCCTGTTCACTATTGGTCAGGAGTTGAAGGGAAGTCTGAGATTCTCATCATTGTGTGTTTCTATACAATAGGGAAATTAGTTCTCTGCATTTAACCCATCACACCTGAGATACACCCAGGTGGAGCAGTGGACAGCTATGTAGAGACCCAAGGAGCAATTAGGAATTGGGTGTCTTGTGCTGAGGCGCCATGGCATGTGGGCATGGCTGGGGATCGAACCTGGGTCTTTCTGGTTCAAGGTCAGCTGTGCTGCCTCTACCTCATCGCAGCCCTGAGTTGAAATTCAGTTGAAAGAAGAAAACAGAGCTGCTGTGTTCTGCAGTTAAAATGATGCATTCATTACCTGCAGTTACCATGACACGTTCATTACCTGCAGTTAGCA